TTCGCCGTCGGCGTCTTTGAACCGATTTTTTTGCTCGTGCACAAACAACAAGTTTGGACTGCTTGTGGACCTCCTTGGAAGAACCCACCAACACAACCCGATGTGGTCCCAAGCCAGACCAGGACCGCCTCAGGAGGGCTCGCTCTGCCGAACCACTGCATGAGAACTCGTCAGGACCATGTCGCCCAAGATGGTCTCAGCACACCAGCAGGCCCTCCAAAGCCCACCAAGAGGCGCTCTGGGCCTTAAGAGGACTGCCCCCAAGGGGCACCGAAGCAAACCATGGCAAGCCGAGAAGCCCCGAAGAGACAACGCAACAACCATGAAATCCTAGAACCACGCAACACTACACCGTAGCAGCGATACTTCCAAACGGCCCCACCATTGTTCTACTGGACCTGCCGGGAGAACTCCGCATAACCATCCTGCATTCACTTCAAGGCTAAGCTGGCATGGAAGCGGAATTCGCTACCCAAAGGCAGCTGGACAACCCGGAGACACCCCAAGGCCCCCCCCAGACACCCACGATGAGACCTCAACAACATCCTTCACGTGTTTCAGAAGGCCTTCAAGAGGTCCCTTAAAGCGTTCTCCCTACCATCTGTCCGTGCAGAGCCAACCAGCCAAGACGACACATCACGAACTGAAGGGATCGGCGAACGTGGCGTAAACTGCTCAGTGCTACACGGCACTTACTCGCGCCTCCATGCACCCAAGATGGCCCAACTAGGCCCCACCTTGGTCCCAGGATGGATCTGAAGCTGGCAAGAAGGGTGCAAAGTAATGGCAACCCCATTGGTGACACCCCTGGACTCGCACAGTGTGGAAATTCTGCCTGCGCCAAACTCATGGCAAGGTCTGACGAGCCCAATTGCGCTCGACTTTGCCACCACCTTCTCGGGATGCACTCTGGTGACTCACCATACGCATCTGCACCATCAGCGGCGCATTGGAATACACCAGGCGAGTCTCACCACACATGCACCTATCAATGCATTTCTGCTGTGCAACTTTAGGTTGACACATCGGTTTTCGTTGGTTCCAATGTCGCTTGCCACCACTCCGTCTACCCGCAAGCTGTGGCAATTCCATCGGTGACGCCCTGCTTCTAATCGCAAGTCATCGACATCCCATCTCTGCCAAACTCATTTCCAAGTCTGACAACCCCACCTGCGCTCGACTGAGCCCCCGCTACTGCACCTCATTCTAAACACCTGACGACGTGATTCTAGACTGTCCCGCAAAAATGACAATGGGAATGGCCATCTCACCAATGCTCTTGCTTGCATCCTGCAGATCCTTAACCGTGTCCTGTGCGCGTTGAGGCGGGGAAGAATGCCAAGGGCTGCCTGGTGGTGGTTCTGAATTCTACTAACGGACTCCCCCCCTGAGCCTCGGATCCCTGCATGTATCGCCCTCCCCTCTCGAAGCCACGCTTCGGAGAAAAAACGATGGAGCCTCGCTCCCGAAGCCACGATCCCTCGTCACGAAAACGTTAGATATGCGTTCCGAGCTTCCAGGACGGCCCATGCAGGCAACCAAGGATACCAATCTGGCCCAAGAAGCCTCGAAAACAGCCCAAGATGGTCCGACCTAAGATGCTTCCAAGAGGGCCCAACAAGGTCACAACTGAACCTCCATATCATTGATTATCCTTGTTTGTTGTACTGCTTTCACATTATCGCCGTTTCGGGCTTCCGTCAACTCAAGACGTCCGAAGAAACCTCCATGATGGCACCCAGACGGCCCAAGAGGTACCAAGAAGGTCCCACGATAGCCCAAAAGAACCCCCGATGGCTCAAGAAGGCATCCTGTGGGAAGACGGTCTTTGAAACATTTCGACTGCCCAAGATGGGCCCCCCACTCCCAGACACCCATCATACGGCTACGAGGACCCCACTACTGCTGGCTGCCCCAAGGGACCCCCACCACTGCTTCTCACAGGAGGCCGAGACAGCCCCAAGACGACCCGAACGAATTCCATGAGAGCTAATCATCAACTAGTGAAGGCGACCGGTGTCACATGTGACGGCATTTCTCTTCCTCCTCCTCCTTTTCCTGCTCCTCCTCCTCCCCATCACCACCACCATCATGATCATCGCCGCCAACCACCACCACCATCACCACCATCACCACCATCACTATCATCATCCTCATCCTCCTCATCATCCCCAACATCATAATGCTGATGGTGACGCCCCATCACCATCATCGTCGTCATCACCACCATCCTCCTCCTCCTCATCATCATCCTCATCATCATTCTGATCACCATTGCCATCACAATCATCACCTTCACCATGACGATTCTCATCACCACCATCACCATCACCATCACCGCAACCATCACCGTCACCATCATCACCACCACCACCACCATCACCATCATTATCACCCTCCTCCTCCTCCTCCTCCTCCTCCTCGTCATCATCGTCATCATCATCCTCATCCTCATCCTCATGCTAATCCTAATCGTCCTCCTCCTCCTCCTCCTCCTCCTCCTCCTCCTCTTACTCCTCTTCCTCCTCCTCTTCCGTAGCCATTTTGGCTCATGCCATGTGTTCCGCCCGTGTTCTCGGCGCGCGCGGGACCGATGATGGCGCGGGACGCTGCTGGCTTCCCGGAGGATTGTGCGGCGACTGGAGGATTGTGCTGGCTCCCCCTCGGCCCCCCCGCCGCGGGGCCGCTGGGGCACGGGCCGCGGCTGACCGGCTGGTCGCGAAGCTCCAGGCCGAGGTCGCGGACGCTTAGTCCGAAGTGGGCGTCCTCCGCGACGCGTTGGAGACGCTCTGCGCCGACAACGACGTGGCGGACCGGGTGCTGCTGCTGTCTGCATTGGCCGCCTTGTCACGGGGCCGGCGACCTTCTTGGTTGGACCGACTCCGCCGCAACGTGGCACTCCACGCGGCGGCGGGCGACCTCTCCAGCATCGCCACCGCGGTGGCTGTGGACCTGCGGCGGGCCCAGCACGGCCCACGGCTGCGGGGCCGAGGCAAGCGGTCGGAACGAGGACTTCGTCGAGGGCTCGCTGGCGCCGGGTGTGTGGCAGGCCGCCGATCCAGCCAGTTCGGATGCGGAGATCTTCGTGCAGGGCTTGGCTGCAGGATGGCGTCTGGCGGATCGCCACACGGAGGCTGTGGACCAGGTCAACGACGTCAGCTTCGATTTCTTCGAGTGCGAGTCCTTTGACGGCGACGGGGCCGAGAGCGACTTCTTGGAGACGTACGTGGTCAAGGGCGCTGTAGGCGTCGCAACCGGTTCGGTGGGCTTCGAGTTCGCCGAGGGCCAGGGGGAGGAGCTCGGGGGCACTGACGTCGTCGGCGTCAGCCTCGAGTTCTTCGAGTGCGAGTCCATCTGCGGCGACGGGACCGAGTGCGGCTTCGAGGAGACCTTCGAGGCCAATGGCGCCGAGGGCGTCGCTACCAGCGCGGTGGGCTTCGAGTTCACCGAGGGCTGGGGCGAGGAGCTCGTGGGCACTGACGTCAATGGCGGCGAGGGCGCCGGCGAGTCGACGTCGAGGACTTCCTCGCCGAGACGCTCGCGGCCTCGGACCCCGTGGCAGGCGTGCACGTGGGGGTGGTGGTCTGCGAGCTCGAGCGCCTCGGCTTGGACATCGAGCTCGTCGCCGCCTACCTCGCTTCGCCGCGATTCGCCTAGGTTTTCTACGTGGAGGGCGCGAGCCTCATCCGCGTGGACGGGGCGGACGCGCCTTCGGCGCCGCCCGTGCGGCCGTCGGGCGCGCGCGCGGGCGAGCGAATGCCGTAGGCCCTGCGGGTCTGCCTAGGAATTTTGGCGCGCGGTGCCCCCTGGCGTGGGTTTTGGGGGGCCGCCGCCTGGGATCGGGCTCGCGCTCGGGGTGCGAACCCGTATCCCCGTCGGGGGTGGGCGGCCGCTGGCGGCTGCCGTGGTGCCTGGTTTCGTCCCCGCGGGGGTGGCTTCTGGCCGCCTGGACTGCCTTCTCGGTACTCCAGGCAGGGTCGGATGGCTGTCTGGGCTTCCCCGTCCTGGGGTCCCCCCCTCGTCGTCTCGGCTGGTCGGCTTCGCGCGAGCGCGCGGCGGCGAGGGACTCTTCTCTCGAACTTCTGGCGCCCTGGACCTCCTGAGCCTGCTCATGGGGGCCAGGGGCGCCGTGGAAGCTGCGCCCACCCACCATCCTCCTCCTCCTCCTCCTCCTCCTCCTCCTCCTCCTCCTCCTCCTCCTGCTCATCCACCTCCTTATCACCGTCACAACTCCCCAAACCCTGGAGACACGACGTGCCACACGTGACGGCATCCCGTGCCCCCTCGAACCGTCGCCACTCAGAATGCTTATCACTCGTATGTTCATACGTGTATCCTACGGGCGTCCCCAGCAAGATGATCAGCAGGCAACGAGCCCATCAGTCGAGGGCTGGCGGCAGAAGGCGAGACTTCGTGGATGACCTTTGTTCGATCCAGCACGCTCACATCACATGAGCGACGAAGGAACCGTGGCTTTAAACATGACGGTGCAACGACCTCACACGATTGCTTACGCGGGCCACCAGAGGCATACCGCATGGGGATGAAAACTCTTACGCGCGACATTGCGCGGGCATCTTGCATGCTGCAATCGGCACTTATGTTTTAACTCGCTCGTTTGCGTAATCATGCCTGTACCTAAATTTGTTCAGATTACTACTGCCGTCACGATTCGTCGTCACCCATCAACTAAGGTGTGCCTTGTTTAGTATTACCGCGACTCATCGCACCTCAACGTTCCTCAGCTCATGCAGTTGGTGCAGCTTGCCCGTTTGACATACAACCGAGTTGCCTAAAATCGATTATGTACATATGCACGATCTCGTGTGGTGTTTATCGCACCGCAGCTGGTCTAATTGATATTCTAGCGTGTTCTGCCTTACCGTACCGCAATTTCGCTTAGGCAGAGCTGATTGTCTCCATTCTGCAGCTGGCTGCTACCACAGCGGGGGGAGGGGAGGCGAATCATCAAAACAGAGGATCAGCACTGAACCACCCGCCTTCTTCTTGTCCATCTCCTTCTCTGTCTTCTTTTGCAGCAGGTCCTCCCATCCCTCTGCACAAACACTCTTGGGTAGCTCCGAGCGTCGAGCTCACGAATGCACGCATCATCCAACCTCGCCCGTCCTCCTCTTCGTTCTTCCCACTCCCCACGCTTCACGATAGACGTGGAGGCCTGATACCTCTCAGACAAGCCATCTCAGACAACCCCTCGTCGGGGGATGCCCATTCAAGACAGCTCCATGTCCCTTAAAAGCATCTCCGAAAGAGCGATTTCTGTGGTCGCTTGGGGGGGGGGGGGGTGGAACCGGACCCCCCCCCTCCTGGATGGAGGGGGGAGCGGGGTTTCGAACCCCCCCCCACACCTTCTCCTTTCTCCCTCTCCTCGGGTCGGCGCAGGCGTCGGCGGCGGCTGGCGGCGGCGGCGGAGGTGCTGGTGGTGGTGGTAACGGCGGTGGTGGTGGTGGTGGTGGTTTTTGATAATTGTGGTGGTGGTGGTGGGTTGTGCTGCTGGTAATAGTGGTGGTGATTGTGGCGGTGGTGGTTGTGGTGATGGTGATGGTAGTGGTGGTGGGTTGCTGTATTGGTGGTGGTGGTGGTGGTGGTGGTGAGCTGTTGTGGTGGTGGTGGTGGCTGTGGTGGTGGTGGTTGTGTGGTGGTTTGGTGGTGGTGGGTTGACGTGGTGGTGGTGGTGGTGATCGTGGTGGTGGCGGTGGTGGGTGGTGGGTGGTGGGTGGTGGGTGGTGGTAGTGATGGTGATTGTGGTGGTGGTGTGGTGGTTTGTGGTGGTGGTGTTGGTGGTGGATCGTGGTGATGGTGGTGATTGTGGCGGCGGTGGTGATGGTGGTGGTAATGGTGTGGTGGTTTGTGGTGGTGGTGGTGGTGGGTTGTGGTGGGTTGCTGGTGGTGGTGGCGTTTTTGGTGGTGGTGGTGGTGAAGTGGTTTATGGTGATGGTGGTGGTTGTGGTGATGGTGGGTTGTGGTGGTTGTGGTGGTGGTTGTGGCGTAGGCGGTGGCGGTGGTGGTGGTATGGTGGTCTGTGGTGGCGGTGGTGGTGGTGGTGTGGCCTTCGGCTATTCCCGCCACTGCGTTTTGGCAATCGGAGTTCTAATGGATGCCTCTTGAGGTCTCGTCAGAATGGTCTCGGGGGCGTCTGAGAAGCATGCGAGGGCTCGATATGGCAATTTGTGTGTTGCCTCTGCGGCCTCTGGGCCCTCTCCGGTCATCGTCGCTGCGTCCCCGCCGTCGGCGCTGCTGGCCGCCGCCAGCGCCGGCGCCGGCGCCGGCGCGGGGGGGGGCTTTGAACCACCCTCCCCTTCTGGGCCCTCTCTGGTCATCGTCGCTGCGCTGCGTTGGCGCTGCGGCGGCCGCCAGCGCTGGCGCCGGCGCCAGGGGCGCGGGGTTTTGGACCCCCCTGGACCCCCCTCCCCTTTGGAGGGGTGAGGTTGGGGAAGGGTTCGGGAGGGGAGGGGGGGTTAGGGGGGAGGGGAGTCCCCCTGGTTCTGATCGACGGCGCCGAGTGTTGGGGGGGGGCCCACCCCCCGGTTCGAAACGCGCCGCCGAATGTTCCCAAGGCAACTGGCCGTGAAACGCGCTCTCTCACATCTCCAAATCACACTCCCCCGCCCCTTCAAGGCAACTCCAAATCAGACCCACCCGAAACTCGGACACTGCCTCCTGCTATGAAACCGGCCTTCTCGCGCTGAATTGGGCCAGTCTTCTCTGACCCGCAGGGGGCCCGAAACAGGGGCCTCGGGAGGCCAAGAGCAAAGGAGAAGGTTTGCATCAAAAAAACACTGACACAAATCAGCCCACGCACCCCTCCTGGGGTCCTCCTCCTCCTCCTTCTCCCCCTCCTGGTCGTCGTCGATGTCTTTCAGGGTCGGCGGCACTGGCCGTCAGGCCTCCGCAATCAGGCCACGGAACCCTCCTGGGGTCCACGGCGGCCAATTTTCGGGCTGCGTCCCTCCTGCAGGTTTGGGCCTCTGCATCCTGCCCTGGTCACGTTGCGACATCGCAGCTGCCCCCAATTCTGCTCTCGATCCTCGGCGGTCCTCCTCGCTCCGCCCTCGGGCAATTCTTGGCTCCCGCGCTTCTCTCGCTGGCCCATTTGTTAGCCTTATTTATCCAAGTTTTCTCGAAGATCGAATATCCACGATTATATCCACCCGACCCACGTGCTCCTCCCCTCCGCGAGGATCGAAGATCGAGCTTTTCTCAGTGTGTGCTTGTGTCTGCGGCTCATTTGGGCCTCTGGAGATCTCTGGGGACTTCTGCAGACTACGAAGAATCACTGGAGCCCTCTTCTATCCCTTCCCGTCATCCTTGTTCTCTTCCGCTGCCAGCCCAACCCAACCACCAAACCCTCTCCCTCTTTTGAGGTCGCCCATGTTGGTGCATGCCGCATCGGTCATGCATCGGCGACGTCGTGACGGAGAACATCGGGCTTTGGGCCGCGCCGCGTCGCCTACGCACCAGCAATGCGGCGCGATCCTCCGACACCATCTGCTCCCACTTTATTCGGGCGTCCTGGAATGATGGATGTTGCGTCCTGTTGCATAGTCCGCAACGAGAGACTGGGAAGTCTCGGGGCCTCTCGGGCGCTCAGGGGCCCCTCTTGGGCCTCTCTTGGGAGCTTTGGAATCAAATAGGCCGTCTTGGATGCATCTTGGGCCGTCTTGGGTGGCTCTTTGGCGCTCGTGGGGCTCCTTTGGGCCGAAACTGAAACCATTTCAGACACGACAGCCAGTCCCGCCCCCCATGGAGAACCCAGAGGCCAGGTTTTGGGGACCATGCGGCCTTACCCATACATACATATGCATATGTATATATATATATGTGTGTATATATATATATATATATATATATATATATATTGAATCATCCCGCGTGCTTCGCGCGCGCTCCAGTTCTACCTAGGCTCGACTTACGCATGGAAATTCAACTATTGAAGTGCCTTGTGCATCGAACGACCTTCTGGGGATCCCTGCGTAAGCCTTGGAAACGTATGGAAGGGGACATGCGGAAACCACAACAGCATCAATTGGGTCAGGAAATGTGCGATGATTTTGGGCCCTCGAAAGCTTCCTGGGATCTTTTTTCGGTGGCGACGGGGGCCTTACTTCTGGTCTGTTGTACAATTACTCCGACGGAAAGACCCCACATGAGAATATGTTCAGCTTGCCCTTCGCCCTTTCTCCTCGCCCTGGCAGACACCCTCCTCTCGCCCTCTGCTCTGCCCTCTCCCCCTCCTCCTTCCTCCTCTTCCTTCTTATACTTCTTCTCCTCCTCATTATATTTATCCTCCTCCCCTCCTTCTCCATCTCCTCAGCATCGTCGCCCTCTCCCAAATCCCTCCCCCGTCGTCATCCTTCCCCTGCTTCTTTTCCACGTGCCCCCCCCGTCCCCCAGGTCGGGGCAAGCTGATCGATTTCCCAGGGCGCCGTCGCCGCAACCCCGCGGGCCAGACCGTCGGGGCAGCCCCGCGGGCCTCTAGCTGCGCGCCGCGGCGCTCCTGCCGGGGGCAGCGCGAAGCCAAGCTCCGCGGCGAGCTGCTCGGCGTCATGCCTAGAGGTCTTCGCTTTCTCCTCGGACTTCTCGAGCGCCCCCCGCAGGGGCGCCGGCTGCCCGCGTTCCAGAAACTCGCGCGAGGGCAAGGGGGCGTGACGTAGAGGTGCAGCCACCACTGCTCGTCCGACATGCCCGCGCGGCCAGCGTCCTCGCCCCTCGCGCAGTCGACGGCGGCGCCCTCGCGCAGCGTCTGGCCCCGCGACAGCGTAGAGGTCGGGAAGGGCGCGCGCGCCAGGGTGAACCCCGAGCGGCGCGCAGTGTGCGCCCCCGAGCACTGCCGCGTGAGCTCCTGCTCGCTGGGCCTGAACACGAGCAAGCTCCTCGCCCGTGCCTCGGCCTCGCCGTGTTCGACGGCGCCTTCGGCGCCCTGCGGCGGAAGCTCGGCGACCTTATGGTAGATCGGGGGCTCCTTGAAGCCGTGGACCTCCAGCCAGATCCCCTGCGGTAGGTAGCAGGGGCGAGAGAGCTAGCCCGGCGCGCGCCCCTCGTAGTCCCGCTCGTCGTGCGGGTGAAACTCGAGGGGCGCGACGGTGGCCCGTTGCTCCTGCGCGAGCCCCAACTTCTTCTGCAACTCCTCCCGCGCGGCCGTGAACCGACCCTCTATGCCGACGTGTGCCGGTAAGGCGCCATGGAAGTCCCCCGTCTCGTGCATGTTCGGGGCGTTCAGGGGTTCATGGGGCGTCGGCCCGCGTCTGGATCTCCTTGAATCGCGCCGCGCTCGTCTGCGGCCTGCAGGAAAACAAGGGGGGCGCCGAGGCGCTGCGCGTCGCGACGAGCGCGCGCGTCGACCTACCTCGCGAGCGTCTCCCAGTAGATGCCCATGCCGTAGCCGAGCAGAAAGTTGTCGTGCTGGTGCCGAGGGCCCAGGGCGCCGCAGTTGTCCGAGGCCAACGTCTTCTTCCAGGCGGGCCAAACCTCCGGCGGGAAGGGCTCGCCCTCGCGCGTGCAGCCCAAGAGCGCGATCAGAGGGCACCCGGGCTCGAAACGCTTCGTGTCCTTCAGCTCGAAGACGCAAGGGGTCTCAGAGAAGACCCTGATAGCGCGCTGAATCTCCACCGTCGGCGGCTCCGTGCACATGTGTGACCCGTCGCCCAGGCGCTTGTTCACATCCGTCAGGAGCCCGATGCTGCCGGTGGGCTTCAGCTGCAAGAGATCGCCGTGGTGCAACGCGATGGAGGCGCGCCCGAAGTGGTGGTGCGGCCTCTTGTAGGTGGACTCCTGCGCGTCGCGCGTGTCGCTGCGTCCGTGGCAGGCACGATGGTCCAGAGCGTTGCGCAGAACTTTTTGCGGTCGACTGCGAAGGCCGTCTGGCCCAGTCGCAAACAAGAAACGGGCAACGTACAGAGTGAGCCAAGCCGCCCACCGCAACAAGTGCGAAAGTGGGGAATGCGAAGCTCCTGTTCAGAACAAGCGACAATCAGGCGAAGCACTTATACCAACACGCGTGCATGCACAACAACACGCACAAGCATGG